TGAGTGAATAAACAGGATTGTGAGACTGTGAGAACCTAAAATAATAGTCTTTACAATTTAGTTCTTTCCTCAGAGACAGTTAAACTTGATAAATGGGATGATGATTTACTTTCCACAATATTTGATGTGGAGGAAGATTACATTACTTCACTAAATAGACACAATCAGAGTATCCGTTCCCCATCTCCTGTTGTTGTGCGAAGAAAGTTTAGTAGAGTGTAAACAATAACAAAAATGAGAAAACAGCAGAGTGTGAACAATAACAAGAAGGAAGTTTAGTAGAGTGTTAACAATAACAAGAAGGAAGTTTAGTAGAGTGTTAACAATAACAATTTATGGAGTGGATTAAGAATGACAAAGGACGAAGAGGGATGGAACTGAAACGGAAAATAGGGGAGTGTAGCAGTGTGTAAACAATAACAAATAGGGGAGTGTGGCAAAGTGTGAACAATAACAAATAGGGGACTGTAGCAGAGTGAGAACAATAACAAGAAGAGGAGTGTAGCAGAGTGTGAACAATAACAGATATTAGAGTGTAGCAAAGTATGGACAATAACAAGAAGGAAGTTTAGTAGAGTGTAAACAATAACAAGAAGGAAGTTTAGTAGAGTGTAAACAATAACAAATAGGGGAGTGTGGCAAAGTGTGAACAATAACAAATAGGGGACTGTAGCAGAGTGTGAACAATAACAAGAAGAGGAGTGTAGCAGAGTGTGAACAATAACAGATATTAGAGTGTAGCAAAGTATGGACAATAACAAGAAGGAAGTTTAGTAGAGTGTAAACAATAACAAGAAGGAAGTTTAGTAGAGTGTAAACAATAACAAATAGGGGAGTGTGGCAAAGTGTGAACAATAACAAATAGGGGACTGTAGCAGAGTGTGAACAATAACAAGAAGAGGAGTGTAGCAGAGTGTGAACAATAACAGATATTAGAGTGTAGCAAAGTATGGACAATAACAAGAAGGAAGTTTAGTAGAGTGTAAACAATAACAAGAAGGAAGTTTAGCAGTGTGTAAACAATAACAAATAGGGGAGTGTGGCAAAGTGTGAACAATAACAAATAGGGGACTGTAGCAGAGTGAGAACAATAACAAGAAGAGGAGTGTAGCAGAGTGTGAACAATAACAGATATTAGAGTGTAGCAAAGTATGGACAATAACAAGAAGGAAGTTTAGTAGAGTGTAAACAATAACAAGAAGGAAGTTTAGTAGAGTGTAAACAATAACAAATAGGGGAGTGTGGCAAAGTGTGAACAATAACAAATAGGGGACTGTAGCAGAGTGTGAACAATAACAAGAAGAGGAGTGTAGCAGAGTGTGAACAATAACAAGAAGGAAGTTTAGTAGAGTGTAAACAATAACAAGAAGGAAGTTTAGTAGAGTGTAAACAATAACAAATAGGGGAGTGTGGCAAAGTGTGAACAATAACAAATAGGGGACTGTAGCAGAGTGTGAACAATAACAAGAAGAGGAGTGTAGCAGAGTGTGAACAATAACAAGAAGGAAGTTTAGTAGAGTGTAAACAATAACAAGAAGGGAGTTTAGTAGAATGTAAACAATAACAAATAGGGGAGTGTAACAGAGAGTGAACAATAACAAGTAGGAAGTTTAAAAGAGAGTGAACAATATCAAGAAGGAAGTGTGAACAATAACAAGAAGGAAGTTTAGTAGAGTGTGAACAATAACAAGAAATAGTTTAGAACAGTGTGTACAAAAACAAAAAGGCACTTTAGTAGAGTTTGAACAATAACAAGAAAGCTGATTAGTAGTGTGAATAATAACAAGAAGGAAGTTTAGTAGAGTGTGAACAATAACAAATATGGGAGTGCAGCACAGTTTGAACAATAACAAGAAATGAGTTTAGTAGAGTGAAAAATAACAAGAAGGAACTTTTGTAGACTGTGAACAATAAGAAATAGGGAAATGTAGCAGAGTGTGAACAATATCAAGAAGGCAGTTTAGTTAGTGGAGTGTGAACAGTAACAAGAAGACAGTTTAGTAGAGTGTGAACAATAACAAGAAGGGAGTTTAAAAGATAGTGAACAATAAATAAAAGGGGATTGTAGCAGAGTGTCAACAATAAGAACAAAGATTTTTGTAGACTTTGAACAATAACAAAAAGGGGATTGTAGCAGAGTGTGAAAAATAACAAGAAGGAAGTTTAGTAGAGTGTGAACAATAACAAGAAGGAAGTTTAGAAGAGTATGAACAACAACAAAAAGGAAGTTTAGAAAAGTGTGAATAATAACAAGAAGGAAGTTTGGTAGGGTGTGAACTATAACAAAGATGGGAGTGCAGCAGAGTGTGAACAATAACAAATAAGAGAGTGTCACAGAATGTGAACAATAACAAATAGGGGAGTGTAACAGAGAGTGGACAATAACAAGAAGGAAAATTAAAAGAGAGTGAACAATATCAAGAAGGAAGTGTGAACAATAACAAGAAGTAAGTTTAGTAGAGTGTGACAAAAACAAATAGGGGAGTGCAGCAGAGAGTGACAAAAACAAATAGGGGAGTGCAGCAGAGTGTGAACAATAACAAATAGTGGAGCTCAGCAGAGTGTGAACAATAACAAGAAGTTTATTTAGCAGAGTGTGAACAATAACAAGAAAGGAGTTTAGTAGAGTAATTAATAACAAGAAGGAAGGAAATAAATTGTAAATAAAAACAAATAGGGGAGTGGAGCAGAGTGTGAACAACAACACGAAGGAAGTTTAGTAGAGTGTGAACAATAATAGGGGAGTGCAGCAGAGTGTAAACAATAACATTAAAGGAGTTTAATAGAGTGTGAATTGAAACGGGCAAGTAAAGAGGAAGTGCAGAAAAATCGGCAACGAGACAGGAAGAGTGAAGTAGGGAAGAACAGATTGTAACTTAGATAGACAGTGAAGAAAACAATGGTATAGAGGAAGAGACAGATTAAAGGGGAAGATACTTTATAGAGTTTAACAGAGGGGGAATATTGGACAATGGGACTTTCTCTTAAATTGAGAGGTACTCAATGTACCTCCGTGCAATGCTTCGAATTACAGTACTCCAAAGACTTATCATGTGTGGTCGTTTGACCAACTCTGTGCAACTAATTAGATACTATTATAAACAAACAACAAAAATTTGATTAAAACAATTCTCATAAGCCGCTGCCGTGGTCAAATGAAATTGCAAAGAATTCCCTCCCTTTAGTAAAACGTATATAAAACGTTACTATTTACTATTGTAGACTCTAGATTAAATAATTTCTAGACAAAACAGTCTACGGTTTTCTTATATCACGTGATGCAGTGATTTGATTGGATTACAATGAATACAACCAATCAGAGAATCCCATCGGAAAAATGCAAATACTTACTGTTTACAGGCTTT